ATTTCTACTGATAAAACTTAATCAAATTCTCGGCATTCCAAGTTCTGGGCACATCCCCTCCACTCGGCGTCTGCAGGCGGAATGTCGAGGGGCCTACCACTTCTTTGATGATGTAGGGGCCTTTGTAGTTCTTGGCAAATTTTCCACCTTCTAGGGGGCGGCTTACGGACCTCTTGCGCAGCACCCAGTCTCCTTCGGTGAACCCCCGTGCGTGCACACGCCCGTCATGGTAGCTCTTCACCTTCCTTCGGTAGTTTTCAGCCCGTATGAAGGCCGCTTCTCGCCTCTCGTGTACGAGATGAATCTCGGCTGCCAGGGCTTCTTCGTTACGCTCAGGGTCGAAGAGTTCCTCCCGGTGAGTAGTGATGGAGATCTCCGCAGGAGCTCTCGCCTCGAATCCATAGCACAAGGCGAAGGGGGTTTCCCCGGTCGCCCTCCTAGGCGTGGTCCGGTAGGTCCATAGGATGTAGGGCAGCTCCTCTGCCCACTCCCCTCCACAAGCTTCCAATTTCCGCTTCAGACCATCAATTATCGTTCGGTTGGCGTTCTCGACCTGACCATTTGTCTGAGGGTACCCGACCGACGCATAACTGTGCTTGATCCCCCAACTCTCGAGGAAGGCGTTGAACGGCTTTGACTCGAATTGTGTCCCATTGTCTGTGATTATGTGCTCGGGAACGCCGAAGCGGCAAATGACTTGCTTCGCGAGAAACTTCTGGCATTGAGCTCCGGTGATGCTTGCTAGTGGGGCTGCTTCCACCCAATTAGTAAAATAGTCAATGGCTACGATGACGTACCTCACGCTCCCGGTACCCTTAGGGAGCGCGCCCATGAGGTCCACCCCCCCATCGTGCGAACGGAATAGCTGTGCTGATGGGGGTATAGTTTGTTGAAGGCCTCCCTGGTACCTTCTGGAACTCTTGGCAAACCTTGCATTTCCTCACAAACTCCGCGCAATCCTTCATAATTGTGGGCCAAAAGTATCCTTGGAGGGTTATCTTCCTTGACACCGCGTACGCTCCTTGGTGGGCGGAGCAGATGCCTGCGTGCACTTCTTCCATGACTTGTTTCGCCTTAGTTGGTCTAAGGCACCTGAGTAGCGTCCCGTTGTACGCCCGCTTGTATAGCTTCCCGCCTTCCAATGTATACCCCGGTGCCCTTGTTCGGACCAACTTGGCTTTCACTGCATCGTCCGGGAGGACGCCATCCTTCAGGAAGGCAACTATGTCGTCCGTCCAATCTCTGGGCCTATCACAGATCATCGCCACGGGGAAAGCGTGAATGCTTGGCTCGGACAACTCTTCCACGTTCGCCATCCGCCTGATGTGCTCGGGCGTGTCTGAGCTCAGCTTTGACAAGATGTCTGCCTCGGTGTTCTCCGCCCGAGGGATCTGCTCGACACTATACGCGGTGAAGCTCTTAAGGAGTTCCAAAGCCGTATCTCTGTATTTCTTCATTCTTTCGTCCTTCGCCTCGAACTCTCCTGAGACATGGCCAACCACCAGCTTCAAATCGCACTTTATCCTTAGCTTTGTCGCGCTCATCCCGGCTGCTAGGCGTAGCCCGCACAAGAGCGCTTCATACTCCGCCTCGTTATTCGATGCCTTAAAGCCGAATCGAATCGAGTAGTATGCCCTGAAGCCTTCGGGAACGATGACCACCACTCCACCCCCCGAGTTTTTGGCGGCGGAGGAGCCATCGGTAAAAACTGTCCACCAATCATCGGTTTCAAGTGCCGGGCTCTGCTCTTCTCGAGCGGTGCATTCTACCACAAAGTCGGCCAGCGCTTGTCCCTTGATCGCCGGTCTTGGCTTGAACTCGATTTGGAAGGCTCCAAGGAACACCGCCCACTTGGACATGCGGGAGGGCGCGTTCGGGCTCCGGAGCAGCGCACCTATGGGCTGCTGGGAGAGCACCTGGACCGGGTGAGCTTGGAAGTATGGCGTCAACCGCTGCACGGTTGACACTACGGCCAAGACCGTCTTTTCGGCCACAGAGTACCTGAGCTCGGCGCCCCTCAGCGTCTTCGCCGTGTAGTACACTGGGTGCTGCGCTCCGATTACCTCTCGGACCAGGACCGAGCTTAGCGCCTTGGGCGACACTCCTAAATAAAGATACAAGGTCTCTCCGGGCTCGGGCTTGGCGAGGACAGGTGGGGAGAGAAGATAAGACTTCAAAGATTCAAAGGATTGCTGGCAATCTTCCGTCCATAGGAAGCCTCGAGACTTCTTCACAGCCTGGAAGAAGGGAGCGGCTCGGTCCGCCACTTTGGAGAGGAAACGGCTGAGCGCCGCCAACTTTCCGGTCAGGCGCTGCACCTCCTTGACATTTCGCGGAGCCTCCATGTCAAGGATGGCACGCACCTTCTCGGGGTTGGGTTCGATGCCGCGCCTGCTCACCATGTGTCCCAAGAACTTCCCGCCTTGGACTCCGAACGTGCATTTCTTCGGGTTCAGCCGAAGGTTGTACCTCTCCATGATTTTAAAAACTCCTTCTAAGTCTTCTGCATGGGTAGCCGCCTGCTTGCTCTTCACAATCATATCGTCGACGTATGCTTCCATGCTCTTTCCGAGGACGGGCGTGAAGAGCTTGCTCACCATCCTAGCATAGGTTGCTCCGGCGTTCTTGAGTCCAAAAGGCATGACCTTGTAGCAATAAACTCCGCCGGGAGTAGTGAAAGACGTCTTCTCTTCGTCTTCGGGGTGCATTCGGATTTGGTGGTACCCGCTGAAGGCGTCCATGAAACTCATAAGCTCGCAACCCGCCGTCTCGTCTACCAGCTGATCAATATTCGGGAGTGGGAATGGATCCATAGGGCATGCTTTATTGAGGTCGGTGTAGTCTACACACATCCTCCAAGTGTTTCCCTTCGGAGCCAACACCACGTTCGCCATCCACTCCGGGTACTTGACTTCTCTAATATGCCCGATGCTCTGGAGGGTGACGACTTCCTTGGAGACAAGCTCCCTCCGCTCGGACGAGAGGAAACGCTTCTTCTGCCTTACCGGCCTAGACTCCGAATTGACTGCTAGGCGGTGACATATGATCTTGGGGTCCACACCCGGCATGTCTCCTGGCCCCCACGCGAAGATCACACGGTAGGCGGCGAGCACGTCCACCAGGCGTTTCCGCTGGCTCCCCGTTAGGCTCGCCCCAATCTTAACCCTCCGCTCGGGTGCCCGCGGGTCGAGCGGTACTTCCTCGACTTCCTCGGCGGGCTCGGCCTTCGGTCGTGCTTCCATCTTGCGCATTTCCTCCTGCGCGTTCACGACCAGCGCCTCATCTCTTGGCAACTTCTTTGTGATCCGGACGTAGCACGACCGAGCTAACTTCTGGTCTCCCCTCGCCACCCCGATCCCGGACGGAGTGGGGAACTTCATGCACAAGTAGTACGGGGAGATCACACATTCCAAGTCCTCAAGGCCGGGCCGTCCCAGGATCATGTTGTGCGCGCAATTGATGCTCACAACCATGAACTCCATCTTCAGCCTGGCCTTGTGCGCACCATCCCCTACTATTACGGGCACGGTGATGACTCCTTCGGCCTCGATGGAGTCCCCTGTGAACCCGGAGAGGGGAGTGCGCACGGGCTTCAAGTCCTTGTGATCCAAGCCGAGGTCTTGGAAAGTCTTCCCATACATGATGTTAACTGAGCTTCCCGTGTCCACCAAGGTGCGGTGAACTATGGCATTGTTAATCTCCATCTTCACGACTAAGGCATCCCGGTGGGGGCTTGGCGTGTTCGGAAGATCCTTCTTCGTGAATTGGATCTGCTCTCGTCTTCCGAGCTTGGGCACCGGTGCTTGATGGACCTTGGCGACAAAGGCCATGTGCTTCCACCTCTTCCTTTGAGCAACGGAGTCCCCGCCAATATTTCCCCCATGGATAAATCCCACCGGATATCCTTGGGCTTTGTCTTCGTCTAGATCGTCGCACTCCCGCCCGATGTGCCTCTTCTCGGGGTTCCTTGCCTGTGTCGCCACTGCGACTGGCTCAGTCGGCTTCCTCCAAGTTCTTCCTTCCGGCAGCCCCCGGGAGGGGGCAGCGGCGTCGTCTCGCGGAGATGGCCCTCGGGCGATGAGTCGCTGCATTTCCTTCTGAAGAGTGAAGCACTCCTTAGTGTTATGAGTGTTGTTGCGATGGTACTCGCAATACTTGGCTCCGCTGGCCACCGCGTAAGCCTCTACGTGAGGGAGCGGGGAGAGGGCAAGCTCTCGACCCGTCCCCACTGGGGCGCCCACGGAGTATACTCCGGCCGAGGGCGTCCTCGGGCCCGCGGTATAGTCTTTCTTCTTCTTCCTCTTCTTCGCGGTCTCTCCCGAGTCCACTGGAGCTCGCTTTGGCCGGCGCGGCCTCGGAGTCTGGGACGTCGTCGAATTCCTCCGAGGCTAAGAACTTCGCACGCGCCAAGGTCTCTTGGTACGTGGGGGGAGGATTCTTGCGGAGCTCCTTCCTCACCTCTCCGCGGGGAAGGGCTGCTTGGAACATGGCGACCAACGCTTGGTCATCCGCCCCATGCACGTCTCTGGCTTCCCTCTCCCACCGGACTATGAAGTCGCGGACCTTTTCTCCCTTGCGGATGCATATGTTGAGCAGGTGGGAGTAAGGTAGCCTCTGCCTTCGATTGGCCGCGAAATGCGTCAAGAACTTCTCCGCCAGCGTATCCCAATCGTCAATGGTTCCCTTCGGGAGCCGGTTGAACCGATCGCACGCGGAGCCCTCCAGCGTCGCGAGAAAGCATCGGCACTTGACCTCGTCCGGGGCTGCCGCCGCTTCCATAGAAGCGTAGAACTTGGACAAATGATCTTGGGGGTCCGTCGTTCCGTTGTAGGCCTTGATCTGCCACGGCCGAAAGTTTGCTGGTAGTGGAACCGACATGACCCTCGGAGTGAACGGGGTCACCGTCCGCAAGACAGGCTGGCTGTAGGGGGCTCTGGTCTCCACTCGGCGCTTTAGCTCGGCAATTTCACGAGCGAGCCGAGATACTCCTTGGTCAGAGACTCTCGTCTTCTCAGTTCTCGTCGGACTATGGCGTCGCTGGGTGCGCTCGTCCCTCCTCTCTCTGCTCCGCTCGGGCCTCGCCGAGCGGGCATCCAATGTTGCCGACTCCTCAGCATGCCTCCGCCTACCTTCGGTTATTTGTCGGCGGAGGTCGCCCATGCGACCATCCGGTCCGCGGTCGAGCCTGTCGAAGGCCGATACCCGGGTTTCTTCGCCTCCCAAACGTCTGAAGGCTGACACCCGGCCCTCGCTGGATTCATCCTCTTCTCCTTCCGGAACATCCTCCACAATCACTTCCTCGATCGCCGGGGCCTTGCAGGGCCTCCTTCTACTCCTCCTGGTCTTCTTCCCCTTGTGCTGGGAAGTGGCAGCGTGCTCGGTGTGGGGTCCGGGCGGAGCTTTTCCTGCCCCGGCGCCGGGCATGTTTCCACCCATGGCGGAAAGTGGCGCAACGGCCGCCTGAAGCTGCTCCGTGGTCACTCCCAGGCCAAATAGCGCCTGGACCGCATCCGGAGTCGAGTCGATGCCTCCCGTGCCGTTGCCGCTGCCCGGCACGTTCTCTTCGCCGCCGACGTGACTGGTGGTAGGGACGTTGCTCCTTGTTTGCACCATTCTCGCGTCCGAGAGTTAACCTACGAGTATGTTCTTCTCCTCTCAACGAGAGCACCAATTTGATGGCTACAAACCACCGAGAGTATAAAATAATAGAAGTTTTAGAGAGAGAGAGAATGCAAAGTAGGAGTATATTGATTTCAAATTCGGTCCATTACACTGAGGGCTCTCGCCCCTTTTATAGGGGATACAATACATATGGTCAAAGTTCTCTAATCGAGGCTCGTCGCCTAGCGGACGTCATCTCTGCCATGAATTGTCCTTTTCATCCTATCGCTATCGCACAGTCAACGCTGCCAGTCGCTATCCGCCGGTCGCTATCGCGTATGTCGCTGTCCCGCCCATAGCCGAGCCCTGGGGCGAGTCGAGCTTACAGGGCGAGCCGAGCTCACTTGGCGAGCCGAGCCCAAGGGTCGAACAAAGAACCTCCACGTGGACGTGTCCTCCGGAGCTATCCTCCATCATATATATATATATATATATACATATATATATATATACATATATATATATATACATATACATATATATATATATATATATATATATATATATATATATATATATATATATATATATATATATATATATATATATATATATATATATATATATATATATATATATATATATATATATATATATATATATATATATATATATATATATATATATATATATATATATATATATATAT